GTAGTTTAGGTTATTTTTTTATTATTTAAAAAGGGTTGCAGGAGCAAAGAAATGTTTGCCCGAACCTAAACTGAAATGTAAAATGAACTGCTCAGAGAGTGAAAGCAAAAGATGGAGACAGGAAGAGCAGGATTGAAGCACAGACAAACCTGGTGTCCTCCACCTCCTCCCTTTCTCTCTCCTCCAACAGCTGCTGGAGTCTTCAGGGAGAGGAGGTCGAACCAGAGAAGGAAGCAAGAGATGGAGGAAGAATGGAAGGAAGAGTGGTCAGAGGAAGCTCTGAACTTAAAAAAAAACACTGTTTATTTTCCTGTTTTCTGGTTTTAGGTTTGTTGAAAATTTCAGGAGATAATCTTTTATTTTACTTCTTCTATCATATATGTTCTAACAATTTTACCAGTAACCAAACACTTTCAGACCATAATGATACCACAATTACACTTAACAACTTTGTTTTCAAAATTCATAAGTACATTAAAACTGTGCAACTGATTCTTGGCCCTTGTTCTTCTATTGAGGACATTTATATTAAAATCATTTTGCCCAGGAACAGACTGCCATAGGCTCTATGACAAACTTAGTTACAAACAACTTTTACATTTATTATTCCTTACACATTTTATCACAATCTAGCAAACTAGTAAATACTCTAATTTTAATCATAATTAAAAAAAGAAAATCTTCACTAAAAGTCCCATTATTTGACTTTAAAATAAGAAGAGAACACAGCAAAAGTCAAATCTGTTGCTCTATCCAAACCAAAGAAAAAATTACTGAAAAAAACTCTAATTTAATTTTCTTGGCGTGAAAGCAGGCCGGCTGTCATGAGAAGAATGCACTACATCCAGGGTCAAAAAAAAGAAACCACAAAACTATTTTTCATTTCAATATGACATTCAGGGCCAGACAAAATGTTAACGAGGGCCAGATTTGGCCCGCGGGCCTTCAGTTTGACTCTATATTAACCTTTAACTAATAACGCCTTTAGTAAAAGATTAATAATACTTTGAAAGATCCTAAATTTGAATGAGATTAAAACTAAATTAAAATTATTCTGATGAATATGTACAACTGTGCAGCAAAACCTCCAACAGAATCACAATCAAACACTTCGACAACTCAAATGATCCACCTGAGCCACACTGTGTTTTTGTTACCTTTTCTTTTTCTTTTTTTCGCGTTTCTTCAGTTTCTCCAGGTCTTTCTTGGCGAGTTCGATGACATCAGAGGTCTCCTTCTCGGGGGCCATCAGGCTGGAGGAGAAGGAGCCGGGCCCCGAGTAGAAAGACTGACGGCTTGAAGCGCGGGACAGATTCTTCCTCAGGTTCTCGTTCACCGCCTCGCTTTCTAGGAGCTTCGCCCTGAAACACACCAAAACAAAATCCAAAACACTTACTAAACTCTGACGTTTTGCTTTGAATCACAGGGAGGAGAGGGAGGGTTTGACTCCCCGCTAAATAAAACAGTTACCATCCCCTTTTTATCATTTCATTTGTTGATTTGTATTTTATATATGTCCATTCACTGGTTTGCTTTGAAACACTTTGACCTTTGGCTACAAATATATATTATGCTCCATCAAACTCATTTATTATGATCTTTTTTTCTTGGCAGGCATGAGATTAAAACAGAAAATGCTGAAACAATGGTAAAGCCTCATTAAAGCAAAACTGTATTTTCTGAAACTGGACAAAAACAGATCCTTTGATTGTGTTTGCATAATTTGTATCCCTGGCTCAATGCAGATAATCAAAAATAAAAATAAAATTTCTGTTTAAATCAACTGAACAGATCTGTTCATCACTGCTACAAAACAGAATCTGCTTGAATTTAAAGGGCCAATATTATGTTTCTCAGGTATTTATTTCAATACTATACAATAATACAGTATCTATGTCACCTTTAGTTGTTATTAAAATGCTGTTTTTATGTTTAAATAGAAAATAAACTTATCTTCTCATCACTTCCGCTTCTAAACGCCTTGAAATTGGCCTCTGTCTCTTTAAGAACCACCTTCCGCTTCTGTCCCGCCCATTTC